TTGCAATTAAAAAAAAATCTAGATATAATGGTAAAAAAATTTATCACTTTTATTGAAAATTTTCATGCAAAATAAAGCTAAACAAATGATATTCGGTATAGTGAACAAAATTTTGTAATTTTTTGACAATTGGAACAAATTCTAAATCCAATTGTAGAAAAAATTATCATTTTAATGGATAATTTATAACAAAGTCAAACGGATACCAAACTTTCAACATTTTTCAGGTGAAAAATTATACCAATCAAACACAATTAATTATAATTCTCAGTAAAACAATTTTTAGACAATTCAATTCCCTAAAATTCATTTTCTTTCCACAAATTTTCTACATTTGCAATCAAACGGACCCTAAGAGTACCAGACAAGATTATAGAAGAAGGAAATTAAAATTTTGTTTCCTTTGATATGAAATAATCTCTAATATTACACATCAAACATGTCTTTAAAGTACAAGTGTGACATCAAGTATTAGAAAATCAAACTTTCATATCACAGCACGAGAATAACAAAAACATGTTCATGTTTGGATTGTTGAACAAGGATTCATCATCGACTCACTACAGAATTCAAGAACTTCATAAAAAAGGCAGGACTAATCCCAAATTCACTAAAACTAAGAGCTTCAAGTTGGTAAACAAACGAAGAAGACAGCTTTTAACTCAAAAATCTTTCAAGAAATCGTTCTCTAACACTGAAGTACAGAACAGATAATGGAAAATACAGTTTCTAAATGGAAAATTAAAAATAAGCTAGATTGTGTACAATATACCAGCACAAGATGTATATGTCAACTTGATTAACTCATTCAAAGATAATCTATCACTTAGCCCCTGTTTGAGCCACATTATTTTTTTCATTCTCATTCTTATACTCATTTTCAACTACACATTCTTCAATAAAATAATATATTACATCACATCAATAATTTTCATTCTTTTTCAACTACATATTTCTCATCACATCACTTCAAAAAAATGCATTCTCTCATTTTGACGTGCACCAAATAGGCTCTAATATATTCTCGTTTATGGATTACCCAAGTAAAAACTTGGTATTTGAAAGAATTTCTTTCACATCACAAACAAGAAACATAATAAGTTCGAAACTTGAAGAACAAGATGAGCACAATTTCATTCCGACTCACATAATCTTGCTAATTATTTAAAACAGACACCAGCTTTAGATGGTAACAAGTAGTATCAAACAAGACCCTGGCAACAGTTCTTTACATTCATCAAATCCCTAACATCGTAAACAGTCTGCTATGAAGTTGGTCAATCCGAGCCATCCTCCAAACAAATAAATCTTTTAACTTATTAAGTGCTACATTTATATGCACCCTAATCAAATGCTATTTCAAGATTTAAGTAGACAAGTTTCACTAGTAGATGAATACCAAGTTGACAGGACATGCTCAGCTGTAAAAATGCATCTATTGTTCAAAGGTGATAATATTTCAGAGTCATTAAGCTGTGTTCAAATGAATATAGGCTCAATAATAAGCTAATAAATCATTCGGTTCACATTTTTTCTATTTTCAAAATCTTTCCAAAACTAGGAGACAAGGAGAAAAACAGGAAATGGATGAAAGCAACAAACATCATAGGCCTTCAAAAAGTGAGAAAGCAAAAAGGGCATCTATTGTTCAAAGGTACTTCAGTATTTCGAGCACAATAGTTATTACATATTTAAGCACTACTTTTAATAACCACAGCCTCAATAATGGCTTAAATGATCAAATCAATCGCTTAATCACACTTCAATTTTCAACTTCTTCAAAAGTCGGAGAAAAACTCAAGAAAGAAAGGGAACTGGATGAAAGTAACATGCATCCTTAGCCTTCTAAGGCTCTTTCAAAAGAGATATAGCAAAGGGGCATCTATTATCCAAGGTTGAGCTACTTTATCATTTCAAGCACAAAATTCATTAGCACTGTGTTTCAATAACCCTAACCTCAATAACGGCTAAAATAATCGCAGTAATTTGCTTAATAGCATTTATTCAACTCTCACCAGCCTTCTTGGAAGTTGGAACTTAGAGATTAGCTAAGAAAAAAAGGAAATGGATGAAAGAAATAACATTAGCACCGTGGGTCTTTTCAAAAGAGAGATCGTAACATGCAACAATAATAGACACCTAGAATTTCTAAAACGAAACATAGGAAAAAAGAGTCCAATGTATCAGAATTAAACCAGGTCAATATCATGCTCCATGCATCATCGAGAATGCGAAAAGTAAATTACCCTAAGAAGGGCCATTGCAACATGCATAATATAGTAATATCCACTGCTCAAGGAATCTATCTATATGGCAAACGAATAAAGCATAATTCAAGTAAAATATGCCCATAGCCATGAGTGGAATAATTGAGGGAAAGCATTACTTTCGTACCCCATAATGTTCATCAAAAGCAGATGTGCTAAACCGAAAATCTATTTAATACTTATCGAAATCTAGAGAAAATACATGCAAGTTTTATAATCACTAGCGGTGTGCATGAATATTTAAATAAGTAGCCTCTCCATCAGCAGCCAGAGCAAGAAAAGATGTTCATACGCCAGAAAATTTACCAGAAATGCCTTTTCCTTCATCCTCGCCTGCATAACCTTCATCTTCATTCTTAGATTCCATCTGCTTCAATGCTGCAGGCTCGCGCTGGTTTGAAGCATTTCCAGCTCCAGTAACTGACTGCTGATAGAGAACCCCTCCGGCAATAGTTAACAGCAGACAAACCAAACCAAATGGACTAGCATGCTTATCCCAAATCAACACATTGATTGCAACAGTCAAAAACTTATTCACTACTCCTGTCACTGTGAATGCAGTTGCAGAAATGGCCTTCCTACATGCAAAACCAAAGAAACTAATGAGCAACCCAAACAGACAAGACAAGGACACCGCAGAAAATGCAACTGGCTCGAATAAATTCCTTCCACTTGAATATCCCAAGGCTGCAAACACATCAACATACTCCCCCGTTATAATCCAAAAGATGGGTGCCATCATCAATGACAGAAGATTGTTGTAGTACACAAATCCCCAAGTGTTCAACCCGAGATTGGTCACCATGTGCTTGATGTAAACCATCTCTGTTGTGATTGTTACCAAGTATGCAAAAGCCCACGAGTAAGCAGTAAGTGTAAAATCAGAGTCCGTCGCAACATACCCAACCGCACCACTCAAAATGATCACCAAGGACAAGAATGTCAATTTTGAAGGGCATGGCTGCTTCCTGAATGTGGTATCAGCTACTGCAACCAGAAGGGGCGTCAGGGATCTGAACACTATGAATGTATCCACATTGGCATGGCGCAACAGATTTGTATTAGTGAAAATGGCCAAGTAAAAAACAAAGGCTGCAGGAAGAAATTTCTTGGCGGTGTCAAGGGTGAAGGCATCGTGGTGCAAGAACCCGAGTTTCCCAAGGATCCACACACCAAGAGCTGAAGTTAAGTACTGGAGAGCTGTGAGGAGTCCAGGATAGTTAAATTTGGTAATGGCAAACTTGTTGATCACAGCAAGCAAGCTAGAACACAAAGCATAGCCCACTACAAGACTGCTTGTTGCATAGTACTGTTTCGATGCATCCAATCGAATCGAAGCCATTAGGGTTTAAAATCTGAAGGAACTAGAACAAATTTCGTTTCTTTTTAGACCCCTCTAAAATTGAAGTAAATCTGACTGAAATCAAAGACTAAAACTATGTTCATTCTGAAATGGGAAAGCGAATTTCCCAATTTACAGTGTGGTAAGAAAACCGAAACCCTAAGGAAAATATGAAATAGAATTAAATCGAATTCGCAAATAATATTAAACGCAAATACAAAATCACTGAATCGCACATAAATATTAACTAAAGAAGAATTAGCCAAATTTAAGGGAACTAATTGAAGATTAAAGGATGCAAATACAGTAAAATAGCAGTAAAATTTCAATGATTTGATCAGTTAAAAATTGGGATGAAGATTAAAAATGAGAAAAAGCAATAATAAAAATAATATCTACCACCGACAGAAGCAACGTGGTAATCAATTGGGGGAAGATGGATTGGATCTAAGGAACTACGGAATGGGCGAATGGTTCTCCATGCACGATAATCCCAATATTTAGATTATTATTTTTCTTTTACAAAAAAGTCTTTTTTTTCTAGTCAAAATTTTTTAATTCATTTGTTTGAAGATGAAATAATTTTTTGATTGAAATAAACCCCGTAAGGTTTTTTTACCGTAACAGAGACATCTCCCTTCTTAAAAATTTCAAAAATCTCCCATTTTAACATATATTTTTCATTTTATCATTTTCTCTTTATACTTTATGAATAATTATATTTGTTTTCTAATTTTAATTTAGATAGAAGTAAATTATTTTAATTTGAAAAAACTTGCCTGTTTTTGACAGGGGGGAGTGTATTCATTCAGGGTCAGGGTCCGTTTAATAGGCAAATGTGAAAAGAAATTTTAATTTCATGTTAGTTGGAAATAAAAACTCACTAAATTTATAGGAATTTGTTTTTCATGAAAATAAAGAAAATGCAAATTAAAGTGATTGCATCTTAGAATTCGATTTTCATTTCCACGTTACAATTAAAATAAAATTCGTTTTCCTCAAATGTGACATTTTCCATGGAATTCGTTGCAATCAAACAGGACTTTAGAACTTTTAAAGACTTTTGAAAATTTAAAAAGTCCAGGTATTTTCAATTGAGCTCTAAAAGTTTATGTGTATTTAATTGAGACTTTTATAGACTTTTTAAAAGTCTTTAAAAGTCACGAGATACTCAATTGAATTTTTTTAAAAGTTTTTATAAATCATGAGGAATTCAAGTAGATAGTAACTTTTGGAGAATTTTCCATTTATCGGGCTTTCGAAAACTTTTTGGTAAAAAATATAAATATAAATAGTAAATCTCAAAGAAAATTTCTCATATAAGATTTTTGAAGATTTCAGATTCAATTCTAAGATTTTCTCATATCTTTTCAATATATATATATATATATAGACACACACACTTTTGAATTGAAATTAATGCCATTGTTTCAAAATATAAAATTCCATGTAATTGTTTTTTTTTTTAAGAACAATTTGTGTTCTTAGAATTTATGTTAATTTCATGAAAAATTTTGTGGGTATCATGACTCTTGAAAATGTTAGGAAAAATTGCAGTCATTGTACATCTTTCATTTGTATAACTCGTGGTATCAAACCTTTAAAAAATCTGCACTCGAAGTCTTAATGAATGGAAATCGTTAATTCATCTGTTTGTTGACATAAGTCAACGACTTGACCAAAATTTGACATTTTTTAAAGGAATAAAAGGGTAACTTTATATTTTCAAATAAAAATAATTAAAATAATGAGACTCACAACTTTTCAATCATATATTCATTGAGTAATTATCAAAATTTACCAAAAATTTAATTTTAATCACAACCAAACATGATCTAATATTGTTTACGATGACATGTCAAGTATAACCTACAGGCTCCCCATGTAGTCTGCACATGTCCACGCGTAACAAAGTAGTACCAATAGTCTTTTATTCGAGCATAACAATCATAGTTATTTTACTAATATCAATAATGTCGGATACCAAGTTAGGTGACAACACTGATGATATTAAGGTTCCATTTGGGAGCCATTATTTTTTCAAATAATACATCTTTTCTTTAACATCAAGCGGGGTCTATGGTTGGAAAGAGACACAAAAAATGTATGATTTGACACAAAGAATGCATTTTTTTTTGTAGAAAAATGGTTACCAAACGGAGGCTAATTACAGGTTCAATTAAATATAAAAAATTATGATCATTTAATATGACATGGAGCCGTTATTTGATTTCCATTTTTTTAAAAATAATTTTCAACCAATGTTCTTTAATAAAATAATATTATACGTAACCAAAAACTATTCCTTTATTTTTAACCGTATTCTAACATTTATCATTTATGTAAGATTCTGGACTAATGTGTAAACACGGTCTTCCAAGCAGATTATTCCGGTTTTTCTCCTTTGCAATATTGAATCGTATTTACCAATTTGTCTAAAATTCTAAAGAAAATAAAAAGAAATGGAAAATTTCACCGAACAAATCAACAAATGTTTGCTGAAGATCCTCTATACTCTCCTCCTTCAAAAATAAAATTACAAATTAGTACGAAAGTAATGGAAAATTAGTATTCTGACCCTTGAAAATGTAAGAAATTACAAACCTCAGCCACAACATTTTGTTCCATTATATTCATCAGATCATGCAGAAAATCACCCATGCCCTGTATCAAGTTCAGTATTAGATAGAGATTTGACACGTGTAGATCGAGTCGAGTTTATTTTTCCTGACAATTGTACAATTTACAATACAAACGAATGGCATCGAACCTCCAATCCATTTTTTTTTGCTTGGTTGCACTACCAAGTTAAACTTCTCATCTAAAAATTTAAATTGCTTCATATGAACAACTTGAATTCATTAAACTTTGTCTTCAAGGTCTATAAAAAGTTAGGGGCAACTGTATATCTTTCTATATATAAAAAGTGTCTATTTAACGAAATTTGTTGGTTTAATGGAAAAATTAACGGAATTTGTTATTTTAACAGATTATGTAACGGAATTTCTTGTTTTAAACAGGCAGCTGTACCTTCTTTCAGTGTTTTTATCATCACTTTGTATTTCGATGTTCGATTGAGGCGATTCAAAATGCG